GTTCAGACGTGTGCTCTTCCGATCTTTTATTTTTGTAGGGTCTAAACTAATATTGAGATTTTAATAAAAAACGAGTATGTGATGAAGGGATATGAAACGGATATTATGAAAAAAATTCATTATTTTCTACCATTTAGTTTGGAAAATAATTGTTATACACGAATATTTTTGATCCAGAGTGTTTTCCGGGTGTTTCGGATTAACGATCACACCACAGCCGCGTGTTAAACAACAGCGAGATGACGTCACACAAAACATATTCCCCTCTCTGCGAGTTTTGAGAGAAGCGTTTTGGAATGGCGCGAGCGCTAAGTTTTGAAAAAAAAGAAGTCAGTCCGCCTACGACGATCCCCAGCGCGCATAGAATTTTGCTCGTGGAGAATTCTCGAAAAGAAATCTGGAATCCATCGTCGTTATACGATCCGTGATCGCTATTTTCCGATTTGCGACTTTAATGCTCAGCGGATCTAAATTGACTGGTGCGTTGATTCGGCTACATTCGTTATCCGAAACTGAGTCACGATGTTCCTGTTCAGTCAAGTGCCTGCCTCGCAAAAGACAAGAGGACTGCGACGAATAAAGATTTGGAATTTGAAATCCATCACCACCGGATTGAATTATTGTCAAAGTCGACCAAAAGGCCTTAAGACCTTATTCTTCCTTACAAGGTTGAATCAGCCATCCCGAAACACCGGGAATTATCTCTATCTGGAAATATCATCTGGACACCGGTAGGGCGGCCGGTGCGGATACGCGCTCGCGGCGTGGACGGGTGTACCGGCTCGGTGCGCGAGTACGGCGAGCGGACCGCACGTGGCGGTTTAAATCCCCGGGAACGTCAGATGCCGTTAATACGACCGAACCGGAGGAAGACCAAGAATCGTGACGAAAGGAATGAGGCAAGCGATGCGCCCGGGAAACGCTCGGATCGAGACAAAATATCGCTTCGCCTTGGTATCGCCCCTCCGGGTGTAAGAGATTAAAGTGGCCTCTACTGAGGAACGCTCAGCCAGGAGTAGAGAAGCGCTCTACTCCCGGGTACTTCATTGCCACTGTGAGGCGGGTGTAAGGAAGCCTGTGAACCGTGACTTCACCGAGAAGCGCTCGGGCCGAGTCAAAGCGACTCTTTACCTCGGTGTAGTCGGCTCACAAGACGGCCAGGAACTGGTGGTCCTCCTGGTTTCGGAGCTCCTTTTATACCCGGCGCCGAGGTCGTTCATCTTCCCTCCTTGCGACAATTTGTTAACAACGGTATAACAAATTCCGTATTCGGCCGAGATCGGCGCCGTTTGGCGATTTCCGTACCGTTAGACGGTCGACGGCAACGTTTTTGTCAGCTGGCCTTAAGCCGCCAGCAATACAACAATAACACAATATGAAACTCATTTGAATGGTTAAATTCTAATATATATGGGTGCATCCAGGAGCGCCACCGTTCACTGAGCGGTTAGATAGCGGCTATTCGTAAGCGCTTATAAAGCGGTCTTTCACGTACTGGATATAAGCTCACACGTACATACGTCATCTATTATGGCGTCGTCCATGGTATAAAGTGGAGGTGAAGGTTAATAAAGGATAAGGTTAAATTTTCATAAAATATTAACAATAATGAATCGACA